TGCGGGAAGGACCGGTTTGCACAGCAGACACACAGGACGTCCGCGCGGCTTTAGGAGAAGCCGCCCCCACCCGACACCCCCGTGCGGCGTCCCCCCCCCGACACCCCCCGTGCGGCGTCCCCCCCCCGACACCCCCGTGCGGCGTCCCCCCCCCGACACCCCCCGTGCGGCGTCCCCCCCCCGACACCCCCCGTGCGGCGTCCCCCCCCCCGACACCCCCCGTGCGGCGTCCCCCCCCCGACACCCCCCGTGCGGCGTCCCCCCCCGACACCCCCCGTGCGGCGTCCCCCCCCCGACACCCCCCGTGCGGCGTCCCCCCCCCGACACCCCCCGTGCGGCGTCCCCCCCCCCGACACCCCCCGTGCGGCGTCCCCCCCCCCGACACCCCCCGTGCGGCGTCCCCCCCCCGACACCCCCCGTGCGGCGTCCCCCCCCCGACACCCCCCGTGCGGCGTCCCCCCCCCGACACCCCCCGTGCGGCGTCCCCCCCCCGACACCCCCCGTGCGGCGTCCCCCCCCCGACACCCCCCGTGCGGCGTCCCCCCCCCGACACCCCCCGTGCGGCGTCCCCCCCCCCGACACCCCCCGTGCGGCGTCCCCCCCCCGACACCCCCCGTGCGGCGTCCTCCCCCCGCACCCCCCGTGCGGCGTCCTCCCCCCGCACCCCCCGTGCGGCGTCCCCCCCCCGACACCCCCCGTGCGGCGTCCCCCCCCCGACACCCCCCGTGCGGCGTCCCCCCCCCGCACCCCCCGTGCGGCGTCCTCCCCCCGCACCCCCCGAGTAGCGCCCGCCCCGCAACCCCGTGCGGCGTCTTGGGGCCGCAGGGTCCCCTCGGCCCCGCGGTCCAGGTCACGTGACCGGGGACACGCCCCCCCCCCAGGCCCCGAGAGCGGCCGGCAGAGGGCGCCCGAGTCCCGGCCTCGCTTGCGCGTCCGGGGCGGCTCCAGCCTCGCGCGCCGCCCGCCGCGTCCGGGAGGGGTTGGCCTGTCCGGCGGCCCCGCCGCGCGCACCCCCGGGCGCCCCGTTCCGCTCTCGCCGCGTTTCCCGCCCGTCCTGGGGGTGTCGGACGCTCGTGCCCGATCCCCCGGGTTATGGGAACGGAACGCCGTCCCCAAGTTGTAAGGCGAGCAGGCGGCCGGGCGCGGGGGCTCACGCCTGCCATCCCAGCACTGGGGGAGGCCGAGGCGGGCGCATCACCTGGGGTCAGGAGTTCGAGACCAGTCTGGCCACATACGAAACCCCGTCTCTACTAAAAATACAAAGAATGAGCCGGGCGCGGTGGCGCGAGCCTGTGATCCTACTACGCGGGAGGCGGAGGCAGGAGAAGCGCTCGAACCGGCGAGGTTGCGGGGAGGCAAGACGCGCAGCTGCACGCCAGCCTGAGCCACAGCGCGAACAGGCACGTCCTCCGTGTGTGTGTGCACAGGTGCACACACCGGGGGACAGAGATGCACACGCGGCCACTAGAGAACTCATCGGCCTCACGGGCGGCTGTCCCCCTGCTCTGCTGGCCGAGAGCGCCTAGAAGCCAAGGAACCCCGGAGCGGGAGACAGCAGGCTTGTTGGTCTTTCTGGTGATTCACCCCCTTCCTGGGTCAACTCATCTCTTAGCTAAACCAAAGAAACTATTTTTTTTACTTGTGTTACTTTTTTCTTTTCTTATTTTCAAAGACACTATTATTTCTCAGAAAATTCTAAGGATTTAAGGCCGGGCGCGGTGGCTCATGCCTGTATTTCCAGCACTTGGGCACATCACTTGAGGTCAGGAGGTCAAGACCAGCCTGGCCAATATGATGAAACCCCGTCTCTACTAAAAATACAAAATTAGCCAGGTGTGGTGGCGCACCTGCAGTCCCAGCTACCTGAGAGGCTGAGGTGGGAGAATCGCTTTAGCACAGGGGGAGGAGGTTGCAGTGAGCCAAGACCACACCACTGCACTCCAGCCTGGGTGACCAACTGAGAGTCTGTCTTAAAAAAAAAAAAATTATCAGGAGCTTACTTACAAGGTAGAGTAAAGAAGAGAAGAAATCCAAAGATTTAAGGTCTCCCTCCCAGGAACACAAAGGCAAGATTCTTTTTTTTAATAGATGCTTTTTTATCAGTTTAAAGACATTCCCTTCTATTCCTAGTTTTCTGGAAGCTTTATAAAGCTGCTGAATTTTGTCAAATGCCTTTTTTTTTTTTTTTTTTTTTTTTTTTTTTTTTTGAGACTTTGAGACGGAGGTTCACTCTGTCACCCAGGCTGGAGTGCAGTGGCGCGATCTGGGATCACTACAACCTCTGCCTCCCGGGTTCAAGCAATTCTTCTGTCTCAGCCTCATGAGTAGCTGGGACTACAGGCACACAGCACCATGCCCGGCTAATTTTTGTATTTTTAGTAGAGACAGGGTTTCGCCATGTTGGTCAGGCTGGTCTCAAACTCCTGACCTCGTGTTCCGCCCACCTTGGCCTCTCAAAGTGGTGCGATTATAGGCATGAGGCACTGCGCCCGGCCTCAAATGCCTTTTCTAAGTCTACTGAAATGATGATGTATTTTTTGTCTTTTCACTTTATTGATTTAGAGATCAGGTCTCGCTATGTTGCTCAGGCTGGTCTTGACCTGGAAAATCCTCCTGCTTCGGCCTCCCAAAGTGCTGGGATCACAGATGTCAGCCACCATGTCTGGTGTTTTTATCTTTTCATATGTGAATATGGTGAATTCCATTGGCTCATATTTCATGTTGAACCAGCCTTGCATTCCTGGGATAAATGTCACTGGGTCATGGTGTGCATTTACGTTTATTTGTATTGCACACGCATGTGTGCTCACGGGCTTGTGTTTCTGTGTGTGGTGATTCAGTGGTCCTACAATCATCAAAACAGCTCTGGGAAAGAACAGTGAGAGGGCGTTCAATGCCTGACTTCAAGATGTGTTTTTGTTTTCTTTTTTTGAGATGGAGTCTTGCTCTGTTGCCCAGGCTGGAGTGCAGTGGTGTGATCTTGGCTCACTGCAGCCTCCACCTCTGGGGCTCAAGTGATTCTTGTGCCTCAGCCTCCCGAGTAGCTGGGACTAAAGGTGCGTGTCACCACACCCCGCTAGTTTTTCTACTTTTAGTAGAGTCGGGTTTTACCATGTTGGCCAGGCTGGTCTTGAACTCCTGGCCTCACGACCTGCCCGCCTCGGCCTCCGGAAGTGCCAGGATTATGTGAACCTCTGCACCTGGCCCGAGATGTATTATAAAGGTTCAGAAATCCAGACGGTGTGGCCTTGGTAACAGGACAGACAAATAGACCAGTGAACAGAACAGAGGGTCCAGGGGAGACCCTCACATACATGATCAACTGATTTTGAAATAAGTGTAAGCAAATTCAGCAGAGAAAGGAGAATCTTAGCAACAACGGGTACTAGAATGATGGGGCTGTGGCTATGAACAGAAGCTTCAGTCTACACATGGCAGCACATACACAAATCCATTCAAAACTTAACTGTATTTTCTTGAGATGGAGTCACTTTTGTTGCCCAGGCTGGAGGGCCGTGGCACAATCTCGGCTTACTGCAACCTCCGCCTCCCGGGTTCCAGTGAGTCCCGTGCCTCAGCCTCCTGAGTAGCTGGGACTACAGGCATGCGCCACCACACCTGGCTAATTTTTGTATTTTTAGTAGAAACGGGGTTTCACCATGTTGGCCAGGCTGCTCTTGAACTCCTGACCTCAAGTGATCCCCAGGCCTCAGGCTCCCAAAGTGCTGGGACTGCAGGCATGAGCCACTGTGCCTGGCCTCAATACTTAGAATAAGCCAATATGGGCTGGGCGCGGTGGCTCAAGCCTGTAATCCCAGCACTTTGGGAGGCTGAGGCGGGTAGATCACGAGATCAAGAGATCGACACCGTCCTGGTCAACATGGTGAAACCCCGTCTCTACTAAAAATACAAAAAATTAGCTGGGCGTGGTGGTGCGTGCCTGTAATCCCAGCTACTCAGGAGGCTGAGGCAGGAGAATTGCCTGAACCCAGGAGGCGGAGGTTGCGGTGAGCCGAGATCGCGCCATTGCACTTCAGCCTGGGTAACAAGAGCGAAACTCCGCCTCCAAAAAAAAAAAAATGTGTGTAAGAAGGAAAAGGAGGGTGTCTATGTGACCCTGGGTTAGAAAAACGATTCTTAAACACCAAACGCATGATCCTGACGGAAGACGTCAGCCACTGGCCTTCCTCGGAATGAAGGGTGTGTACCCAGAAAGGCGCTGGGAAGACAAGCCCAGGCTGGAGGAGGCGTCAGCCCACCCCCCGTCTGAGGACCGACTCACCTGCAGCATCTGTGACAGGCTCTCAGGAGTCGTGGGGTGCTGTGCTCTCAGCAGCTATGGGAGACCCTCCCGCTGGGTCACGGGTGTCCCCTGAGCGGCACGGCTCAAAGTCCTCTGCCAGTGCCCTCCTCGGCCCACGGACCCGGCCCTCCCACGCATCACCCATAGGCCAGGCCTTTGGGGTCTTCCCCAACTTCAGGAGGTGGAAGGTAAGAAGAGGAAAGTCGTTCCTCTCTTCCTTTCTCCGCCATCGTGGTGTGTGCTTTACTCCGTTTCTCGCCATGTCTTCTCACAAGACTTTCAGGATTAAGCGATTCCTGGCCAAGAAACAAAAGCAAAATTGTCCCATTCCCCAGTGGATTCGGATGAAAACTGGTAATAAAATCAGGTACAACTCCAAAAGGAGACGCCGGAGAAGAACGAGGCTGGGTCTGTCAGAAATCACACATGCGATGGCACACGTATTCATGCTGTCCGAAGGTCACAATCGAGTGCCACTAAACCAAGCTATCGGGAGACGTTTGAACAGATTCCTTTCTGTATCTGTTAGGAAGGCATTAGTTAGTACAACCCACAGTGCTTCCATTATTCATGTAAAAAAAAAAAAAAAAGGTTTTGGTTGCCTGGGTTCAGTAATAAATATGTGAGACCTTTCACTTCTAAAAAAAAAAAAAAAAAGAAGAAGAGGAAAGTCAATGAAAAGAAAAAAGAATTGTGCCCGCTCCAGCAGCGCATATACTAAAACTGGAACGAAACAGAGAAGATTAGCACGGCCCCTGCGCAAATGGATGACACGCAAATCCGTGAAGCGTCCGTATTTTTTAGAAGAAAGACCTTTGTCGTTTCTCTGACAACCTCGCCTTTCCTTTCCATCTGTTTAAATTTATTTAAAAAAAAGAAAAAAAAAAAGAATTTACCAGTGGCCGTTTCAGGTCTGTCAAACGACCCAATTTCGGGTGAAGCCGGGCAGCGGTGGCGAGGAAGCTCTGTCACCTACCCGGTGTCAGCGTCCCGCCGTGTCTGCGGTGAGCGGCAGCATAGCCAGGAAGAAAACCTCCTCACGGCGCCAGACTCTGCAGCGCTGGGAGTCAGCACAGGCCGACCTCAGGGACATCCTGGGTTCAGATCCAGACGGCTGCAATCACGCAAGTATCGCAGTAATGCCAGTCAGAGCGACTGCTTGGGTTTCCAGTGCACAGTCAAGTTACGTTTCTACCACAGTGCAGTCTATCCAGTATGCAATAGCATTATGTTTACAAGACAGCGTACATACCTTAATTTAAAACACTTTATTGACCACTCCTCACTCCCTCCCAACCTGGGCTCCCATAACCCCACCCTCCCTCAACACCAAAAAAAAAAAAAAAAAAAAAAAAAAAAAAATAGGCTGGGCACTGTGGCTCACGCCTGAAATCCCAGCACTTTGGGAGGTCAAGTGAGCAGATTGCTTGCACTCAGGAGACCAGCCTGGGCAACATGGTGAAACCCCGTCTCTACTAAAAACACAAAACAAGGTAGCCGGGTGTGGTGGTGCACACCTGTGGTCCCAGCTACTCAGGAGGCCGAGGTGGGAGGATTGCTTCAACCTGGGAGGCAGAGGCTGCAGTGAGCTGAGACCATGCCACTGCACTCCAGCCTGGGAAACAAAGTGAGATCCTGTCTCAAAAATAAAATAAAATGGCTGGGGGCGGTGGCTCACGCCTGTATAATCCCAGCACTTTGGGAGGCTGAGGCAGGCGGATCACCTGAGGCCAGGAGTTTGAGACCAGCCTGGCCAACATGGTGAAACCCCCTCTCTAAATCAGCCTGGTGTGGTGGTGCATGTCTGTAATACCAGCTACTCAGGAGGCTGAGGCAGGAGAATGGCTTGAACCCAGGATGCGGAGGTTGCAGTGAGCCGAGATGGTAGCACTGCACTGCAGCCTGGGTGACAGAGGGAGACTGTGTCTCAATAAAATAAAATAAAAACTAAGCTACTGATTTAAGTAGCTTAGTTTTTATTTTAACAAATGCTATCAGGCTAGGCATGGTGGCTCACGCCTGTAATCCAAGCACTTTGGAGGCCAAATCACCTGAGCTCGGGAGTTCAAGACCAGCCTGACCAACATGGTGAAACCCTGTCTTTAAAAAAAAAAAAATGCTAACAATCATCTGAAGCTTCAGGTTGGGATCTTGGCAGGTGGAAGGTCTTGTTTGTGGCTGCTGGCTGATCAGGGTGGTGGTGGCAATTTCTTTTTCTTTTTTTAAGACGGAGTTTTGCTTGGAATTCAGTGGCACAATCTCGGGTCACAGCCTCCACCTCCCAGATTCTCCTGCCTCAGCCTCCTGAGTAGCTGGGATTACAGATATGCGCCACCACACCCAGCTAATTTTTGTATTTTTAATAGAGATGAGGTTTCACCATGTTGGCCAGGCTGGTCTGGAATTCCTGACCTCAAGTGATCCACCCACCTTGGCCTCCCAAATTGCTGGGATTACAGATAGGAGCCCCCATGCCCGGCTGGCAATTACTTAAAGTAACAATAGGCCGGGCTTGGTGGGTCACGCCTGTAATCCCAGCACCTTGGGAGGCCGAGGCAGGCGGATCTCGAGGTCAGAGATTGAGATCATCTTGGCCAACAGGGTGAAACCCCATCTCTACTAAAAATACAAAAAAAAAAATTAGCTGGGAGTTGTGGCATGCGCCTGTGGTCCTAGCTAGCTACTCGGGAGGCTGAGGCGGAAGAACTGCTTGAACCCAAGAGGCGGAGGTTGCATTGAGCCGAGATTGCGCCACTGCACTCCAGACTGGTGACAGAGCAAGACTCCATCTCAAAAAAAAAAAAAGATAATAAAGCTGGCCACACTGACTGCCTCTTCCTTTCACAAAAGATTTCTCTGCAGCGTTTTGTCCACAGTAGTTCAGGCGTTCTTTCACAATTGGAAAATGCTCTCAAACCTACTGCTGCTGTACCCACCAAGTTTATGGAATATTCTAAATCTTCACCAGGAGCAGATTCCATCTCAAGAAAGCACTTTTGCTGGGCACACTGGCTCCCATCATAATCCCAGCACCTTTGGACGCCACGGCTGCCAGCAGGTGGATTACTTGAGCTCGGGAGTTTGAGACCTGCCTGGTCAACACAGTGAAACCCCATCTCTACTACAAATACAAAAATTAGCCAGACGTGGTGGTGAGTGCCTGTAATCCCAGCTACTTAGGAGGCTGAGGGAGGAGAATCACTTGAACCTGGGATCTGGGAGTTGCAGTCAGCTGAGATCGCAACACTGCATTCCAGCCTGGGCAACAGAGTGAGACTCCCATCTCAAAGAAAAGTCACCTGACCTCACTGAGTTAACTGATGGAGACCTTCCATGTCCCACCATTGCACAGTGTCCCCTACAGCGCCGTGTGTGTGTGTGTGTGTGTGTGTGTGTTGCGGGGGAGGTGGTGGCTGTTGTTCTGAGTATTTTCCACTTCCCAGAGGTGAACTTGGTGTCTGACAGGACCCTGTAGGAGTGTCTGATTCTCACAGTGCCTCCGTGCAGGAGGGAAGGAGAGGGTCATGCCTGGGACCTGAGAGGTGGGTCTCTGGAAGCGTACACTGTGCCGCTGAGTGGCCTGCTTCTTGTCTGACTGAAATTGGTGGCTTAAAGCCAACACCTTGTCACTTGCAGTGAGGAACCCTTATGGGGAATGCCAGGATTTCCCCTCAGCCTGCTCTATCGTGAACGTCTCCTGCTAGGTGGCAGAGCTTAGCCCGTGAATCAGGGCATACCCTATATTCCAAACCTTAAGAGCAATCTTGTCACCAGAAACTCAGCTGGTCACTGCCAGTGTAAGTTAAAGAAAAACTGCCAACTGGGTGACCACTCACATATGAACCCGGAACAGCCACCAACTGGGCAGAATTCCCAGATATTAGCTACTGCATCCTCACTGCTTTCCCGTTTCACATCGCCTGCGAAAATCCAGTGCGTGCTGTACTGAACGTCATATGCACTTTCTGTACATATACTTAGTGAAAAAGGCATTTTAGATGAACATATGATCTATTTACTTATTTAGAGATGGGGTCTCACTCTGTCACCCCAGAATGAGCAGTGCAGTCTCGGCTCACTGCAACCTCCACCTTCAGGGTTCAAGTGATTCTCCTGCCGCAGCCTCCCGAGTAGGAGGGGATCCCATGCCTGGGATTACAGGCATGCGCCACTACACACAGCTCATTTTTTGGTATTTTAGTAGCAATGGGGTTTCACCATGTTGCCCAGGCTGGTCTTCAACCCCTGACCTGAAATGATCCACCTGCACTGGCCTCCCACAATGTTGGGATACAGGTGTGAGCCACTGCGCCTGGCCTGAATATAGCTGTAAGTAGAACAGGCACAGGGACTGCACCCAAAGTCACCCTGGTGCATCTCTCCCTTCCGTCGGACTCAGGCTTGCAGCACCACAATGCTTTCTCCAGACAGCGCCTCATAAACACTGGGGGTCTCCTGCCTCAGCCTGTCCCTGGATTCCCTTTCATGGAGAGTGTAAAAGCTCCCCATTGACGCGAACATGCAGTCTGGTGGGGCTGGATGTGTCAGAGGGCGGCAGGTGGGGAGGGAAAGGGTAACAGCCATCAGACCTGTACGGGGCAGGATCAGAAGGAAAGCACACTGGAGTCGGCCGGGACCCAGCAGAAGTGGGCGAGAGTGGTCAGCCCTGGGGTGGTATATAAAACTGGGGGTAGGCTGGGCGCAGTGGCTCACGCGTGAAATCCCAGCACTTCGGGAGGCTGAGTGGGCGGATCACGAGGTCAGGAGTTTAAGACCAGACTGACCAATATGGTGAAACCCCAGTCTCTACTAAAAATACAGAAATTAGCCAGGTGTGGTGGCGTGCGCCTGTAATCCCAGCTACTAGGGAGGCTGAGGCAGGAGAATCTTGTGAACCCAGGAGGCGGAAGGTTGCAGTGAGCCGAGATTCAGCCATCGCACTCCAGCCTGGGCGACAGAGTGACACTCTGTCTCGAATAAAAAAACAAAAAACAAAAACTGGGGGTGGGACTATTTCTGATATACCCCAGTTCACTGAGTGAACTGGGTAAGTTTAAAAATAAGATAAAGACATAACAAGGGGAGCGGGTAGGTTCAAAAATAAAAATGAAGACATCCCTTTCAGGGGCTGTGGCCGTACTCTCCAGGAGGGAAGCCTGGCCACAGACACGGTGCTGGTGCCAGACTCAGTGCCCGCATATACCCGGGCACCTTCCCCACAGGGTGTCAGAAAAGGGAGCCCAAACAGCTGTTTCAAACATTTTTTTCACTTTTTTTTTTTTTTGTTTAAGATGAGGCTTCACCATGTTGGTCAGGCTGGTCTTGAACTCCCGACCTCAGGCGATCCGCCCGCCTTGGCCTCCAAAGTGCTGGGATGACATGCCTGAGCCACCACGCCCGGCCTCCTCCGAGGATTCTGAGGAATTTGAGACACGTCGGCCGGTGCGCCGCCCACAACACGTGCCGGCGCTTACCAGGCCCCGCCCCTGGCACCAGGCCCCACCTACCAGGGAAGGTCCCGCCCGCAAAGGAGACTCTTCCGGACCCCGAACCGAGCCACGCCCACCAGCCCCTGCCCGGGCACCAAGACTGAGCCTCGCTAGGCCCCGCCCCTTCACCGAGCCCCGCCCACCGGTCCCTGTCCGCGAAGGAGCCCTGCCCGCCAGGCCCCGCCCCTTCGCCGAGTGCTGCCCGGTAGTCCCCGCCCCCCGCACCGAGCCACGCCCACCAGCCGGCTCTAGCACGCCTGGCGCCGCTGACTCCGGCGGCTGGAGCTGTCGCCTCATTCATCCCGTTCCGCGC